GATTAGATCAGTTTTTCTCAGCTTTGGAACCTTGAAGAGGTGTGGACTTAACCTCCCAAAATCCCCCAGCCAGCCATGCTGGCTGAGAAATTCTGGGAGTTGAAGTCCACATATCTTCAAGTTGCCAAGGTTGAGAAACACTGGATTAGAGTGATTAGCATTTTTAATTGGCTAAACAATGGTCCTGCAACAGAGAGTGCATAAACACACACACACACACACACACACACACACACACAGTCACACTGTCTGTCTTCCAGTTGTTAACCCAATAGCCTTTTGCAGAGTCTTGTAATTCCTCTTTTACTATGGATTCGCTGCTTGGGAAATTCACTGTCCTTCAGCCCCCATGCCTTCACCGTGAACTATCTACTAGCAAATCATTCAGGAGACTATTAAAAAGTCACTGATTTCCTTGACCTTCTGCCCCTCGTCTGGTCTTCCAAGTATTTTTCAAACTGCAATTCCACCTGTCCACATTAACCACACCTAGTTAGTATTCCCTCCTTCCATCTTAGGGCATGTCTCTTCTGTAAAGGAAAGACACTTGGAATTATATATAAGAAAGGAAGGCACATCTGAGCATGTACAGAGTCTTATGCTCACTCTGAAGCAGCAGCCACCAGTAAGGATGCATTTAAGATTGGTGATGGTGCCTCTGCAGGTTTAAATGGCCCTTTTCTAAATATAATCATAAAGTCATTAGCTTTCATTACCGCACTCAACAGAATGTATGGCCAGAATGAAATTCAGCCTTTTAATACTACCTTTTCTCATGAATTGAGTGATGTCTTGGTCTAAGAGGAAACTAGGCATGGTGGTGTAATTAGTCATTGGGTTTGTCTTCATGGTCTCAAACTTGGTGTGTTGCACAATGTCACCCAGAACTGCTTCTGAGAGCTCTAATCCCAGGAACTGGGCAACCTTCTGGATTTCTCGGGCTGGATCCTGTGAAGTTAGAGAGAAAAATAAGACTGTGAGGATTCTTCCATTTGTATGGGATTCAGAGGCTGACTTTAAAATGTCATTACACTTTTTTTTGACTCATGTTTGGTGGAATACTGCTTGGAATACTCCTATGTATTGTTGCTTCATAGGTACGACCACCAAGTCTGGGCTGCACACATCCAGATGGCTACCAGATGATAACGGATAGCTCCTTTCTGTGTCTCTACCATCTAGATTTTTGCTTTCTAAATATGGTAGTTCTAGTAATAACATCCTTATTGAGTTTGGCCATTCATTAATTTAAATTGTATGCTAAAAAGCCACACCAGAGGTTCTGGGCAATTGACAAATACCGATACAGAATAAAAGTATTAAAATCCATCTAAACATTATAAAACTGTCCTTTTAGAACTAGTAAAAATGAATGTTTGAAGCCCCTTCCTAAGTCGTAAGTCTCATCTCAGTAGCAGGTTCTGTAGTTTAGGCCTTACTGTGAGAAAGATTGAATTAGCTGTTGAGGTGGCCCATATCCATTATGGGGCCTGCAAACAGTGCCCCACTGAAAATTTAAGAGGGCTGGGAAGACTGTCCAGGGTAGATATTGTAGGAGGGGAGCCATGTTAGTCTATGATGGCAAAAAATCATTGAGAAAGTCCAGTATAGGCTGTAGCTTATTTATAATGTGTGTGAATGGTTGGAGATGTAAGCTGTAGGTGATAACTAGTGGTATTTTGTTCTATTTCTGTGGCCTGTCTTTTCATAAGTCCTCCCTGGGAATTGATGTGCCCATTTTGATTTGGTTTACCCTCACATCTACACCAACAGAATCTGCATATCCAAGTTGCCTTCCCCTCCCTCTCCTCCTGCCTCACCCTAACCTAAATCCCACATCAGCCAACCCCAGTGTTTCTCAGCCTCAGCAACTTTAAGATGTGTAGACTTCAACTCCCAGAATTCCCCAGCCAGCATCCCCCATGTGAACTCCACACATCTTAAAGTTCCTAAGGGTGAGAAACACTGGTCTAGCCACTCAATGCATCTGACAAAGTGAGCTGTAGCTCACAAAAGCATATGCTTTTAAATAAAATGTCTTACTCAGAAGAGTTGCTGCCAAAGTCCTGCTGATTTTTCTGGCCAAGTTAGGTGATCCTCCCAGTAATCTGGAACTAAGCCATGTAAAGTTGTCTACATCATGGAGATCACTTGAATTTACCCTGGAAAGCATCTGCCATTCACCACACTGTTTCAACACCAGAATGATGTGGCACCTCCTTTTGCCACCCCATTCTGGGCCAATTACAATTTCCAGGCTGTCTTTAGGGACCACCCAACAAAGAATGAACAGTATTTCAGTCATCTAGATGTCAGGTAAGCAGTGTATATGTTATTGATTGCCCAATCTCAAACCTCTAAGAATGGGCACCACTGGTTTATAAGCTAATGCTGATCAATGGACCTCCTCACCATCAGTGTACTGTGACCATCTACAATCAGTAGATCAGTAGATCCAGGAGCTACCCCAGCCTTTCCTTAATGGGAAGTGTAGACTCATCTGGATCAAGCATTTGAATTTCAGCTCCTAGAATCGGCACCACTTGTCTAAGTGTGTGTGTGTGTGTGCGCGTGCGCGCGCATGCGGAAGCCAAACATTAAGAAAGAGTATATTATACCGGGGCCTAGAGATCCAGGAGACCTCGTCTAGGTTAGAACCTCATTATCATAAAGAAGAAGAAAAAATAGGCTAAATTCAGGCTTCAGGATATTGATGAATATTTCTTTCACTCTATGCATCGTACCATGGGCAGATTTGTAATATTACAGTAGTAATATTAATAGTGATTAGCCGAGTATTATAATCAGTATCAGCACAGAATAACCACATTCTGAACAGTTGCAATGAGACTAGGTCCTTCTTATAAAAAGAGAGAAAGCACCCACAAAGTTAAACTAGAATTTGTAGTTGAAGAAGGAAAGAGCTCTGAGTTTACTTGCATGACACACCCACATGAACAACTGCTCTCAGTGTCCCCTGTGCCCCAGCAAGAAAGAGTAATAAAATAATTAGAGACACCAATACCAGGGATAATGAGAATCAGTGCTGCTGGTAGGATTTATAGCTCTAAAATATATGAGAGTAAGATTATAATTTTATGGTTCCTGGGATAGCATTCAAGAGGCCATAAAATACATTATACCTCCCCTTAGGATATATGGGAATCTGTCATTGAAAGAGACCCAACTTTGGTGTCTTTCCACTCAATCTCCTTAGAAAGTTCTTAAGCACTTAATTTTCTGATTTGGAGCTCCAGTGATGGGAGACAAGAAGGACAGATTAGGTGCATAGCTGGGGCAATTCAAATAGGGCTGGGAGGGTGGTGGTCTGCCATCAGTAATTCCCTGGACCGCTACCATGGGCCTGCCAGGGCTTTATATGTGTCAAGAGATCTGATTTTAGAACTTTCTAAAGGGATTGATGAATTTCTTGTCATGGCCGGCTGTAAAGAATAAAGGTAAATCCTGAGATGATACATATGAGATGGAATTGTGGTATGTTTATGTCTATGTGTGCTGCATGTATATAGAGTCCAGAAACAAGTCACCTACCTTCTTTATGTCTTCATAGAAGACATACAGAATTGGGTGATGATTTTTAGCCTCCCACCAACCTCGAACATGATCAAACCAGGACCCCCAGGCAACTGCAAAACATAAAAAGAAAAGGAGAATTAAAGGTGGCGTTCCCATTTATCATACATTTCCCTCTGTCTCTTAATAGAAGTCCATTAATCTGGTGCCCTCTAGAGGAGTTGGACTTTCATGATCCGCCCATGATCCAGCCAGCATCGGCTGTTATTCTTCCCTTTAACTTTTAAAAGAATTGGATATGTTGCCAAACCAAGCAAAGCTGTAGTCACTTCTGAACTTCTTCATTTCTCTAGGGCCTCTAGGAGAGAGAGGAAGATGTGGAAGGGAAAAGGACATGACCTCTGATTATTCTGTAATACGCACACACATGTGCAAATATATGTATTCTGAATTGGAGGCCCTCTGAACTGGTGGGGAATCGTGGACTCCAAAACATTTGGAGGGCACCTGCCTGGGGAAGCTGATGATTGATAGACAGACAGACAGACAGATAGGTGCTTAATTTCAGAGTTGGAAGAAAAACACTGAAGGATTTGCAAGCTCACACAGAGTAGAATTAGTTGCTATCTCACTGGCATTCTAATAGGGCCTTCTTCTTCCATAAAGGCGGTCCAAAGTCAAAAACTAGACCAAAGTTTCAGGCTCATTCCTCAACATAATCAGATATCCTGAACCTGTTGTGGTGCACCTACTTTACCATTTTCCACCTCTAATATCCACTCACCCTTTCCAGCAATAAAATTCTCCAGAAACTCATCCCAGTTTCCAGCCTCTGGCATCAGTTTGCTCATATGATGGAAGTGGAAATAGGAAACTGCATTGTCCTTGATGTTTCTGGCCACGTAAATGATCTGGGGAAATAAAGCATTGAGGACGGAGAACCCAGGAATTCTAGCTTCTAGCCTTTCACTCTCCATTGAAGAGGCACAATTTTTTGTTCAGCTGCAAATCTACCAGATGGTACAAACTTGTAGCCTGCATTTGTCACTTTGGTGGTCAAAATATCTTGCGGGATTTTGTCCAATACTTTGCTGAAGGTAAACTATGATGACAGCATTCCTATGTGCTATAAGGGAAGGAAACAGAATTGGGCCTAACAAGCTTCCTTCACCCATTCCACCTGTATGGGCCAAATGATCTTGGGGTTGGGGACAAAACTTACTCTGCCATCATATCATCCAGTTTCAGAAGGAAAGCAACAGGAGAACTGTGAAATATCTCTACCCAAGGAAGACTGCATTGGCAAGCATTCCAGCTGGGCATATTATAGTGCTTGGCCTGATCTCAGCCACCTTGCACCACCCCCCTTTGGAAAAGGTGCAGTAGTTGCCCCTCCTGAAGCACCTGCAAATGTTGGTGTCAGTGTAGTTGGGAGGAGGAAGAGGCTTAAACAAGAAGGTTTACTTGAGACCTGGCAGAAAGGATGGAGCAGCTTCTTGGTCAGCCAGATTAGGCCTGTAGGCTAGAGGTTTCCCATCCCTGACCTCCTAAACTAATCATTAAAGAAATAATATCAGTTTACTCATGATAGAGCAGTGTTTCTCAACTTTGCAACTTTAAGATGGGTGGACTTCAACTCCCAGAATTCCCCAGCCAGCCATGCTGG